TCGGAACTTCGGCTGTCGCGTTGAGAGGCTTAAGGGTTTTGGGTTCGACTGTTGCAGGCTTTTCCAAGATCTGTCTGACTCCAAACTGAAACTGGTAGCAGCGTAATGTCCTGGTTTGTGGCTATCCCTAAACCCTAAACCCTAAACCCTAAACCCTAAACCCTAAACCATGAAGGCCTCGCTGCTCCGTGCAGGACTTGCTGGCCAAGAGCTTGCCCTTCCTCACGGATGAGTCGCTGATTGCGGAGGACGTCAGCTACGACGGCCCGTTGGCAAGCTGCCAGGGCCGTGACTTGCTGTTGGTTAGTAGGGAATGAGGGAATGAGGTACATTGAGGTACCCTATATCCCCCTATATATACCCTTTAAGGGATTATGTAGGCTACCTCATTCCCGGATTCCCTACCAACCAACAGTAAGGTGAGGACTACCTCTCCGCGATGCGGGAGTGGCAGCAGCTGGTCCCAGAAAGGCTGGAGGACTTCAAGGTGCTGAACCTGGAATCTTGGCAGCTGAACCCTGGAGTGGTCACTGCGAGGTGCCCGGGGGGGCGGGGGGAGGGTTGCGGGGTAGGAACGGACGCTGGGCGGCTCCTGATTCAGGGACCACTGTCGCCACTGCTGTTGCTGCTCCTGCCGTTAACTCCTGCGAGCGCGACTACTACTTGGAGGTTCATGGTACTCAACCAATTGTAACGGCACTTAAAAACCCACTTGTAAGCGCCTGAAGTGCACAAAGATGGTGATGCGTACAGTTAGAAGTACAGGTATAATTGGTTAATAAGTAGTATGAACCTCCAAGTACTGCTCCTGCTATCTCCGACACGTGCTGTTCTGCGAATGGTACTGCTTCTGCTACAGCGGTGATTGCGAGAATGATGTCTACAAGTCTGACTATGATCATGATCATGATGATCGTTATGATTGCGATTATTGTGTTGCTTCTCATTCATTTACTGAGTACTTCTGCTGTTATGGCACATCATCATCATCATCATCATCATCATCATCATCATCATCATCATTTATAGTTCTTCTTTTGTGACCACCGTCTGGATTCACGATCGCAATGATTTGAGTACACCTTCCACTACTTAGACCCTAAACCCTAAACCTTAAGTCCTGATCATCATGAAGGTGGCGGGTCGCCTTCGTGGCCCCGCTTCCGCCCTCTTGGAAGTTGCGGGAGCTCCCCGAGGACGCGCCGCTGTTGCCTGGGGCCAAGGCTGGAGATGTTGGCCTTGTGGGAGCTTCCGAAATTTTACATTCTTGTATCACTTTATCATAGGGTTTAGGGTTTAGGGTTTAGGGATTCTATCCTGGAGGGTATTTCAGGCGTGCGCTTGGGTCCGACTGGGGTCATGCTCCAGGCTCTCGAGATCTCCGGGCCTGGACCTTGAGACCCTGAAGTTTCCAGGTGCGTGTCGAGACGCAGTTGGTCGCCGAGCTCACGCTGAACTCGCAGGGCAAGGTAGGGTTTAGGGTTTAGGGTTTAGGGTTTAGGGTTTAGGGTTTAGGGTTTAGGGTGTGCTGGGGGAGAATGACTCAGCTCTGAACTGAGCAGGGGGCAATCCCTTCACACCCCTTTGGCTTCCTGTCTCCTGCTGAGAAGCAGCTGCTGCCTACCGCTTGCTTCCAGGTCCTTCTAGGTATAAGTGGCCCATAGATTGTTCCGTTCAATGTGCCGTTGTCGCTCGCTTCACATATACTTCGTTCTCAAGTCGGACGGCGGGACTGCAGTGGAGCTTCAGTGATCCCAGCCGTACCATTCTTAGTCAATCTCGACCCAACTTGAAGCCCAAACTCCTGAATCCCCAAAACCCTGTGGAAACCCTGAGCTCCCAACATCCCAAAAGATCCCTACATATCCCAAGCACACTGCAGACCCCCTGAGCCTCCTTGCACGCCTCCTTACCAGGTGGTGCGGCATGAGGAGGCCATCTCCGCAGGCTATGAGATCCTCGATGCCATCGCGCGCTACGAGCTGCTCACCGCCAGGAGACGACAGGCCGACGCTCAGCGCGACAATTTTTGCTTTAGTGGTTGTGAGGGGGTCGTTTCATGGGGGGCCGATCTGGTCCCTTGCCTCCTTTAAAGGGTTCTGAAGTATGTAGATTGTGGTTCTGAGTAGGACCTGGTGAAGGGGACTGACGCTCAGCGCGACAATTTTTTCTTTATTCGTTCTTGGGGCGTCGTTTCATGGGGGCCGATCTGGTCCCTTGCCTCCTTTAAAGGGTTCTGAAGTATGTAGATTGTGGTTCTGAGTAGGGACTTGGTGAAGGAGGTCTCTTGTCTCACCCCTCCATGTACCCCCCTCCTGCACGACCCCTTGAGGGACCTCTAGGTAAACTAATTTCCTGAAGGCTTGCAGATGTTCTTGGGTCTGTGGGGCTTTCGAACTGTAGATTGTAGACATTAGCAGTCGCAGGGAATTTATGGTTCAGGGGCACTTATGTGCTTTGTTGCTGTCAGAAAGTCGAGGTGGGACATAGCAATGTTTCGGCATCGAACTTCGAACCTCTCCAAACCCCAAACCCCCCAAACCACCTGAACCCTCAACATCCCTGCGCCCGAAAACCCCCCAAAAAACGATCCTAAGGCCCCACAAATCCCTGGAAAACAGCAAAGGATCCCGTTTCCTGGTACTGGCAAGTCCTCAAGGACACCACCATGGAAGAGATGGCCGTGCGCTCGGGGCAGATGGCCACACCAGAGGAGCGTGCCCTCTTAGGGTTTAGGGTTTAGGGTCTAAACCCTGCGAGGGTGTAAACAACTAGAATCCCCCGGAAACAGTCGGACCATCAACCCTTGAGTTCAGGGTCCGGGTTGGGGTTGAGGGTTTGGGGTAGCCCGAAACCTCCAGGGGCTGAATAAGCCCCTGCCTAAACGGGCGCAGGGGAGCGCAAGGGAGGAGCATTCAGGAGATTTAGGGCAGTTTGTTATAGGGCCTAGGGTTCCGGGTCATTCTGCAGCGGGATAGATTTCGGCCCTTGAAGTGCTTCGGATTCAGGAATGCTGGCATGCCCCAAGTCTGGAGACCCTGCTGCTGGGGGAAGAAGGCTTCGGCAGCTGCCCGCACCCTAAACCCTAAACCCTAAACCCTAAACCCTAAGCCCTAAACCCTAAACCCCCCCCCCCCCAAAAAAAAAAGGAGCTGGAGTGGCGATTCAACGAGATGGTGGTGCGCAACTTCCTGTACGGCGCAGTCCTAGGAATCGCCTTCTGGTTTACCCTGAAGTTCTTTATTGCGCTCAGAAGGCCCTAACTTCTGGCACGCAGGCGGTCTCAAAAAAGGTGCGGCCTGTGTGCGCAGTGATGGTTGTGTCCGGATGTGTCGCGCTTCGCGTGTGTCTTGCTGGTGCTGCATGAACTGTGCGGCAGCACCAAGCTTGAAGACTTTGCTGCCGACTTTCTGCCAGGTTCGCCTAGGTACCTGATGTGTGTTGGCCAAAATGATCAACATGTCAAGCAGTAACTTCCGCCATCTAGCCCAGGCTATCAGGGGGCTGCGGGATCCCAGAGGTGAATTACTACCAAGGGCTGCTGCCGCTAGCTGAGGGAAGCATGCCTGCAACACATGGCCTGTGCCTCAGCGAGTTTCCCAACGCCGGGCCACACGCACCTCGGAAGCTCTACGATGGTCTTTGGTTGGTATGTTGGTAACAACATTCAAGATAAGTGATACCTTTGTAGAATTATCATACATACATATATATATATATATATATATATTCATGCTAAAAGTACAAAATACACAGTATTAGTAGTACCAATTGTGCTAGTTCTGTACTAGTATGGCTCTTTGCTACGCGCCGTCGATCTCTGGCGAAGCCTTGCAGTGCTCGCAGCAGTGTCCCGCAAATACTGCACAGGGAAACTCGTAGCTCGCGCTTGGTTCAGATAGGGGTCTGTTGGCACGCGTGTATAGCACCGCGACCACCGTCTTGGGAGCCTGCGCAGCCGACAAGGGGCAAGCTGAGGTCAGCATTGGCCAACGCTCGCCTTTGAGCAGCTTCTTTGGCGAGACCACACCATCAGAGTTCACGACCTTCCAGGCCGTGGGCTCAATCCCCTGCACCAAGCCCTCAAGTTTGCACGCCAGGGCTCTGAACAGGAAACATATTAGTTGAGTGCTGGGAGCTGTGCTAGCTGTTCTGCTTGTGAGATTTCTGGTCCTTAGCGGTCGGCAGGCGCACGCGCCCAAACGACGAACACCCGCGTCCTTCACGATCGACCAGTTCTGGAACTCACCAGAAGGCAAGAGATGCCAGGCAAAGATCAACGAAGGCCTCAACAAAGGAGATAATTCAGGAGAGCAGCTCATGACTGCGAACATGGTCCTGCTCTTTTGGGTTTAGAGATGTGGGGAGAGTAGACATTGGCAGGAGCGTGAAGTCTAGAGTCTAGAGTCTGGTGTTCCAGGAGAAGATGACAAGTCCATTCTCGCCATGGTGGAGAAGGTCGCGAAAGCCAGTGGGCCAGAATGTGCACGGGCCCTCTCGCACCTGGAGGGAACTCCCGCCGAGTCCTTGGCAAAGATTCAAGCTGGGGTGGCGAACTTCCTTCCCTGAGTATTGCATCTTCCGGCTGTGCCCGGTTTAGGGTTTTAGGGGTTTAGGCGGTTTAGGGTTGAAATAGAGGGTTCAGGGTTTAGAGGGTTCAGGGGTTAGAGGGTTCCGGGTTTAGGGTTTAGGGTCGACTTGCCAAGAGAAGGGAGAAGTGACGCTGGGACACGCTGTGTGACGCCTGTAAAAGAGTGACGTGTCAGGTTCCGGGAAGTGGAAGTGGCACTGACATTCTCGTGTGATGGCTTCTTATCTGTGTCCATCATCTGTCTACTCCATGTCAGCCACACTCATCAGGTTGGGTTGCGGACGCTAACTTATTCAGCATTTAAGTACAAAGTCTGATCTCATCCCCTTGCTTTCCAGCACGGAGGAGGTTCGTTTATATCAACCCTGCCTGTGTACCGAACCTACATATCGGCCGCGGTGAAAGACCCATGCACCGCGTCGGTGGCCGCTTGCTTTTCGCTGGGCTTGCTGCAGCAAGCGCGTCGGAGCCCCGTGTGCCTCGCCCCATCTGCTTGTTTCCTGTGCTGGTGTTTGCAGTCCTGCTTTTGCAGGCAGTGTACTGTTCAGGGAAGTGATCTATTCGTGATGACAGAAAGCTCTGGATGGGGGAGAATAAGATTCCTGCCCGATGTCAGGTACCGCTCGGGGAATGCCTGGACCACCAGTGTGAGGTCCAGGTGCAGAGGGGGCGGGGGGCCTAAACCCTAAACCCTAAACCCTAAACCCTAAACCCTAAACCCTAAACCCTAAACCCTAGACCCTAGACCCCAGACCCTAGACCCTAAACCCTAAACCCTAAACCCTAAACCCTATACGGGGGGCAACCAAAGGGAGACAGGAAACCAAGCAGTCAACCCCAGAAGAAGCCCTTAAGCTCCCCAGACCAACCACAAACCAAACCCAAAAGACCAAGCACTCTTTTTTCACTAAGTGCATCGTCATCTTGAGCCAAAATGGTTCCGGGTTCATTGACCCTTTCCCTTCCAACACCAACTCTTTCCTGAATACAAATTGCAGCTCCGCACTCCCCCTGTCCTAGGTTTTCCTAGGACACAAACTGGAGGTGCAGACCTTTGACCGAAAAATTGTCGCTTTGACAACGGTCATCTTCATGTTTAACGTCCGATGGACGGGCCATAGCCATTAATTTGCACACCATGGTTTTACGTCTTTCCAGGACGAACCTTCAGCTCATTGGCCGAATCCCTTACCATTGAGGATTTCTTCACCTCACACTTGAAAAAGTTTACGTTCCAGCGGCCCGTTCCTCACCAAGGAACTCAGCATTCACCACCCAACCTTTCTTGACGCAATGCTTACAAAGCGTCTTGGCCCTGGGCTGTGAATATCGCAGAACATCACAGTCACTGCTTGCGTGCATACAGTTCCCACCCACCGTTGTATACAAAGTGGCACTCGCGGGAATAACCACCACTTTCCTGCCCCACAGCCATTTATACAGCTTCCGAAAGAGATACCTGGCCAACTCCCAGAGTATGATTGTTGCCACCAAATACACAGCGATGTCCGCATTGTTGATAACCATTTCAATACTTTGAGCCAGAACCATAACCGTAGATGTGTTGGCGACCCTGCACACCCCTTCTTCTGAGCAAAAGAATCCAGCAATTGACGCTTCTTCTCCACCAATTGCCATCCCTTGCAGAGATGCAGCCACCATCATGACCGCCATTGCAAGAGAGGCCCTTTTCAAGTCAGTTCCTTGCACCAACATTTGGAGACCCCAAAGCGCCTTTTGCTTCGCATAAACCTGTCCACTCATCAATTTTGTCAACAGGTCAGCAATCATATACTCACCGCGAAGATGCGCTATCACCATGTAACCACGGTCCACCAGAGACCTGACACCGGCTGCTCGAATTCTCAGGTGCCTTGTCCTCCAGCTTCCAGCAGGATATTGAATGATTGAGCATGTCGAAACCGAATCTGTATACAGCACTTTTTGCAGCGATTCTTCACCTGTTCCAACCAAAGCGGCAATTATAGGGGTGCACGACTGAATCATCGTTGCTCCCTCTATAGACGCATGCAACTCAGCCTCAGCAGTACTTAAAGCCACCGTTGATTGTCTCTGCGTTGCCCACATCACTGGACAATCACCCCAAACCACCACCGCTCCTGAGTGGCTCTTCTAGCATCCGCGTAGGACTCTACCACCTTGACGCCTCGCCCATAACGCAACACCTCATTCCTTTCTTTTTCGCATGTTGCGATTGCTCCAAACGTCAAGCCTAACGTTGGAGTTGCAGCAAGGTATCGAAATACCTCCTCAGCCTTTTTAACCACAAATCGCGGCCTTCGGGATGTCCACAAAGACAACTGGCTTGTGCAGAAAGCCAAATCAGGTCGAGTTTTGATTGCCACCCAGAGGAACTCCCCTACGGCACCTTGAGCCGCTCGCAAGGAGGAATATCCACCTCCTCTTCTTCACCTGGAGTTTCTGTCACCATTGGCAGGTTACTACCTTTTCCAGTTTCATCAATCTGATACCCTCTTCGGTTCAGCAAATCTCTCACGAAGTCCTCCTGGTTGAGAAAGAAGCTGCCATTTCGATACCAGACTTGGACACCCAAAAACTTCAGGAATCCATCACCACAGCCTGGACCACAGAACTCGGGTTCGGAAGTTTTCCACTCCTTCCTGATCTGTTCCAAGGCCTCCCGGAGCACTGTCATAGTCCCAGCCATCAAAAAATCATCCACGTAAAGACCCATTGTCCCTACCAACTTGCTTGCACCTTCCGGCTTCTCTTGTGCCATAATAAGGAACAGACTTGGGTCTGCATTGGACCTCTGAAAGCTCATTGCTTGTCCATCCTTTGACACCCAAGACATGCCTTGAAGACGCTGATCTCGCCACTCCACCCATGCTGCAGGACTTTCGGCCAAACCGTACAAGGCCTTCCTCACAATCCACCGCTCCTCCTTTGTACAAAGACCCAATTTCACCGCCGCCCTTGGGGGCTGCACCACCACCAGACGCCCTTCTCCTTGCGCCCTATTCATCGGCGCTGTCAGAAAAGCTTTGGAAATGTCTAAGCCAGCGATGATCCACACCATATATGCTGCGTGCCTCACTTGACATCTGAATGTAGTTGAATCTAAACCAGGAGCGTACAGCGAGTGACGACTGAGGGACCTCGGCCCTTCGTATTCTGTAGCTGCCGTTGACGAAATAAAATTGCCACATGCACAGATACGGGCACGTCGCCTCCCTGTCCCTTGCTTCCGGGTAAACACCACCAGACTGGGCACGTACTCAATCACCGGTGCATTAGGCTCTTCCGCCAATTTGTCCAGCTTTTCTTGAGTTGTTGGTTCCACCACCTCCAACTCTTTAACCAAAGACGTCACCTCGTCCGACAATGATTCCCTCCACTTTTCCAGCTCTTGCATGGCTTCTTGTGTAGGAATTGTTTTTGTTTGCAGGAACTCAACCTCCTCTGCTGCCTCAAGCGCGGTATTTTCTTGTACCATTTGCTGAACTTGAGCTGCTTTGACCAAAAACTTCGAGAGCTGTTCCTCGGTTCTTTTTGCTTTAACCAGCCATTCTCTAGTCTCTGATCCTTTTTCTCCATTCGACTCATTGGCCGATCCATGGCACTCGTCCAAAACGCAACATTCCTGTTCAGCAATTAGGCGTCGAATACTCAAATGCTCCTCTAGAGCCCATTGGTGCGAATCGAACACAGCATAGTCGACTTCCTCCGCAATGTCGTCCAGCGAGGTCTCTTTCAACGTCATTTTTAACAATTTCGCGTTTTTCACCTTCTTCAGCTTGTGGTTCCGGAAGAGGAAACTTACATTGGAGAAGATAGCACCTATCCTTGTAGCTCAAACGCTCCATAAAAACAGGTGTGTACCCGGTCAAGGATACCCTGTTCCCTTTCCAAGGCATAGGACCATGCAACTTTCTCGGAAAGAACGACATGAAGTTCCAGTGGATATCGACCAATTTTCCAGGCAAGACTTTCTTCCCAAAGGATTGCTCCACCACTTCAGCTCCTTCCTCTAAAGCCTTTTCATCCTCAACCCACAGCTGACCATCCTTATAGTCGCCAAAGCCACACACATAATTGCAGCAATGCTTTTCATTGTGACTATCCCTATGCAATGATACCGGAGCATTGCATGAGATCTGAAGAGCAGAAAATTTGGCTTCAGGATTGTGGTGCCTCACGAATGATGCCAGGTAACGACATAGCCATGGCCTTCGATGAGTCTCTTTTGTAATACCACACACTCCGCCATGAGTATAGTGACCCAACACCAGAGCTCGCGTACTTGTGCACCAATTGTTGATACCACCTCTTCGATTCACCCTCTTTGGGTATACAATCCCTTCCAAAAGCTCCTCACAGTCCACGTAATCGTACATAGACCTTTCATACATCGATTTGGCTTTTTGTTCTTCCTTTTCCAACTGCGTTCCATCCTCGGCAGTCTCACTTTTGCAGACCAAATAAGCATTTTCATGAGGAGAACAGCATGTCGGCCAATACTCATCACCAGGAACATTGTCCTCAACATCTGCATTATCTTCCAGCTCCCCCAGACCCTGCATGTCATCCTCGAAAATTTCTAAGGGCGGACTCTCCCCCCGCTTGCGAAGCAAGCGCAAGGAGCCCACATGACCACGCAGTGAAGAGGCCGGGCTTTTTTCCATCAACCGATGGCAACCGATGGCGAACTGGAGGATCGCGAGGCGGAGGTAAAGGAGGACCTTCGTCATCAGCAAACCGAAGCGCCGGTTTTTTCCCCTTGAGACGATGCTCTGGAGGAGAAGGCTCCTGTTCTTCTACCACCCCTTCCAGCTCCAATTCAGGCGGTTCCTTTATATTGGAAAAAATCGTAGTGCAGGGAAATAACACCAGTTCATCCGGATCTTTTGCAGTCCCTTGAGCTTCCACCCAATATCCACCCGGTAGGTCATCACATGGACCCAAAAGAAGCGCGGGCTGTGTACGATCGACCCATTGCCGACCTTTCTTTGTTCCATCCGGACCCAGCAACTCCCACGGACGACGTTTGACTTGAATTTGAGCACCAAAGGGAAGCAACGCTTTCGGGTTTAACCCCAACTCCCTTTCAGCTTTATGCCACCGTAACATTGACCAATGGCGAGCAGCCAGTGCCCAGTACGCCGGCCCGAGTCGCGCCTCCTTTAAGAGCGACCTCACACCACGTTTGAAGAAACCCACACATGCTTCAGCGCGCCCATTTGTTTGCGGGACTCCAGGATCACCAGTGGTCCTATATATCAGACGAGTTTCACAAAAGGACCGGAAGCGTGCATTGACAAACTCCCCCGCTCGATCTGAGTGGATTCTCAACACCGGATACCCATGTCTCTGCAAGCGTGCCATCATTCTTTGAACAGCCGATAAAACAGTTGTCTGCTGTTTGTCCACAATCGGCTCCACCATAACGAAGTTGATCATACGGACAGGCTGGGTCAAGTGGTCCTTCAGTTCCTTCCAGGATTTTTCAGAAGCTTGGATTTTCAACACCTCTGCCTCCAGAACTGGTGCAGGTTCCACTGGCGCGGAGTCTTCCTCCTCGAAGTTAGCGACTGCATCGCCTAACCATTCTCCGACACCAGCACCTTCATCTGCCGCCTGATCTTCCACCTCATCCGCATCTTCCTCCTTTTCCGG